ACTAGTGCTCATTCTCATCAGTCAAAGCCAATCATCCCGATCTCACCGTGGACACATCTCTCAGTACTTCCTTTCCAGGAGGAAATCAGCATCTGGCAGCCTAATTAGAGAGCAAGAGTTGTAGACTTTGAATGAGGCACAATCACAACTCCTGCTCTTCCCCCTGGTGTTTTTAAGAATCAACTGTATGCAGGCGGCTCTATGTAGGCTCCTGTCGCGGAGTACAGTACAAATGACGATTGGGAAGCTCCGAACTCCATTGTACATTAAAATCTCCCTTTGACTATTCCTTTCCCACAAACACCTTACTAAAATCTCCTGGACAAGTTTCAGAACCAGAAAACTGACCAAGAGTCTTCCAAATGGTGATTTCTGTTTTCTAATATATATTTCTACAACTACATGCATTTCTTGAATCTAAAACGTCATTAACTTAATACCTTTCAATTTAAAAAAGCACTATATAAATGGTGTGACATGGTTTAGGTTCAAAATATCAAAAGTGTGAAGGTGAAGTATAACTGAGATTCTGATCTATATCGCTTTTTCTGAAAAGGAACTGGAAGAAATGAAAGGTTGTAGAGAGAATCACTCTCATCCCCCTTCCTTCTGCTTCTTTATTTGCAAATGGTGATGACTAAAAGTGCATGGTCATTCCCTCAAGCAGATTGAGTTAAGTGGAAAAGCTAATATGAGGAAGAAATTGATAATAAGAATGTTTAATTAAACCCTTCCTGGATCTACTAAAATACGAAAGGAAAGGGTAGGAATCTGGTTCTTTAAATCTTTAATTTAATTCAGGTTTGATGGAAAATATACTACTGTTTTGATCCTCTTGTGGGAGGGAAAATGTTGTAAAACATGTTAGCAGCCTTTCTTGTATTGGCGGGCAAACCTCACACAATGAAAATTATACTTTCTAAATGACTGGTGATGTTTGTGAAATTGGTTCTCAGTAAAGCAAGTAAAGTGTGGAAGCTGTAGGGCAATGTTGCAATAAGGGACCAACAGTTTTTGTCTTAATGAAAATGATTCCTGTTGGTGCCCATTGAAAACATAATAACAAGAATATCAAACCCCTTAATTTTGGAAATCCATAGGTTAGCATAAAACTAAAGGCAGTATTGAAGCATTTAAGAAGTGAATTGACATAAAGTAAAATATACTACATTTAATAAAACAAATGATATTTGAGTATGGTAAAATGCTAGGCTGAATTGATCTTTATGCATTCCCTCTTTCATGTTCTGACACTTTTTTCAATTTATATCACTTGGAAATCTTTTTAGAACAATAATTTCTTTGAGAGACAGAAAAAGATAGAGAGCTTCTATCCATGGATTCACTCCCCAGATGCCCACACTAACCCCCGGCTTGGGTCAAAGCCCAGAAATTCAATCTAGATCACCCACGTGAGTGGCAGCCCTCCCAGGACTTTCTGGAGTCAGGAGACAGAGCCAAAATTCAAACCCTGGCACTCCAATATGGGACGTAGGTGTCTTAACCACTTGGCTAAACAACCTCCCCAGACATCACTGGTAGAAATTGTGCATGAAGGGATAGGAAGTCTCTGGTGCACACTCATTCCTGTTTTCTAACTAAGTTGGGCTTTCTATCCATTCCTGAAGGCAACATGTTTGCTCCGGCCACATGGGGCTTGCAAATTCATTTGTTTCTTCCTGGGCTCCGGTACCCCCTCTTCCAGGACTCATCCCTCCATGACATAACCTCATTAAATCTGCCCTCCTTTGTGGCACTTACCCTGATGGGTGAATATCTATGAATATAAGTTTAAAATCTCTCAGCCATACTAAGGAAAGCTCAGGAGATGAGGGATGCATGTGTAGGTTTCACTCAGCTTGTACAAAACAAGGATTCAAGAAGTATTTGTTGACTAGTTGGTTGATGCCCAAACTGTGAAAATGAAATTTGCTAAATATGGGATTGATTTTGCTTCATAAAGTTGAAAAAGAAAGGAACTGGGGGTTCATTTGGAAATGTGAGTTAGGCAGGAGAAAGTTTGGGAATGAAAGATGGGATTCCTCTGAAAACTAGTTAGCACAGTACCCTATCTCATAGGACTGCCCCCGTCCCTGTAGAGGACATAGTGCCCAAAGGAAAATAAGATGAGCACTTCAAGCCAGAGATGATCACAATGTGAATTAGCCCGTCAGCAATCCTCAAGTTTACTGGTAGTGGGAGGTGCCATTTCAAAACACTAGACTGGGAAAAAGACTTTACAACGGAAGGACCTTGGACAGTTGCTTCATCCGTGCCGTTCCCTAAAACTTGTGAAAGCAGTAATAAACCACACCTCAGATCAAAGGATTACACAGTCCCCCTGTGTTTCCTGTTGCATGGTTGGGAAGAAGTGTTTCATTCATTGGAGAGCAAACAGTGGGTTAAAGAGCTATGTTCCTGCTGCTAGTCTTATTCCCTCTAGCCCATCCTTCTTAGCAGACTGTCTGACCCCAGTCTCTAGCCAGCCTCAACTTGGGCCAATGTGTGTTCCCCAGACCCACATACTCTCTGGGATACCCCTGTGAACTTCTGTTCCTGGAACCAGTTGCTCAACCTTCCTCAGCTTCTCTACCTAGCTAATGCCCATCTGTTGCTGAAGCCAACTGCTGAAGTACGCCCTTTTTTACAGGAAGCTGTCCTCACTGCACCTGCATGTACATGTACACAAACATTTACATTTTTTCCTGACCTGTGAAGGCATCTTGGCCTTTGTACCTAAATAAGATAGATTTCATCAGAACAATGTTTTCTTATTTATATAACCACCATATAATTCTTAATATTGGGAAACTTCATGTTGTTGAAATACTATTCTCTAATCTACAGTTCCTATTCAGATTTTTCACTCATTGCCCAAAAATATTCTTCATACCTGTTTTGTCTCTCTCTAGTGTAGCATCCATTATAAAATCACATATTACAGTTAGCGTTTTTATTTATTTGAGAGATAGACATAAAGAAGAGAGAGAGTACCCGTATGCTGGTTCATTCCACAAATGCCCACCATGGCCTAAACTGGAATCCAGGAACTCAATCCAGGTCTCCTAGATGGGTGGCAAGAATCCAGTCAGTTGAGCCATTACTGCTGCTTCTATTATCAGAAAGCTGGAAACAGGAACCAGAGTTAGGACTTGAAAATAGTCCCTCCATAGGGGATACAGGCATCCTGTCAGGCATCTTTGCCACCAGCCGAACCATCTGCCCCTATATTTATAGATCAGTGTATCTATGGGTATAGGGAGATAGAGATTGTTTAACTTCCTTTAATCACAAACAGTTCCTTGTATTTCTTTGACCTTTTATATTTGAAAACCATAGGCTAGCTGTTTGGTAAGATAGCCTCCAATCTGAGTTTTTTTGTTTTTTTTTAAGGTTTATACCACAAAATGGATGTCATTTTTTCTCCATACATCATATCAGGAAAAATAAAGCATGTGAATACGACAAATAGACTTTGCTAACTACCCCACCTAAAATATTTACATCTTCTACACCAATCTAATCTCTTCACTTAAGAATATTTTGCCACCTGAAAGTGAGAACCGTCTAAAATGTCTGATAGCCACAGTGAGATTTCTGCTTTGCATTTGCAACTCTGTTCATGAATTATTTTCTTCTTTCCTTTGCAATAAAAAAAAGAATCCATGAAGGATGTATATTTTATATCATGAGAAAGGAGATGAGAAATATTATTTCTGGCTTGCCAAATGTCATAATGTTGCTTTTGGTTGTATTATGATAGGCACCCATAATTGCATTTATTTTCTCCTGCCTGCTACAAGTACTCTGCAGAGTGTCCTGCAGCCCTAGAGCCTTTGGACTGAAAATCACTTGGATTGATTAAAGCTATGAGGAGAATTATGATGAGGGTCAGACCATAAAGGCATCAGGGAGATAAAATAGTACCATTTAAACTAGAAATGGACCCTTTTTACCTAAGTTTCCATATCTGTGACAGGCTGCTTCTTCATTAGAAGATTCATAATACCTGATATTCACTCATCAACTTACTTGCAAGAAAATTATCCATGAACCTAAGTGAGAAGGACCATTACAGACAACTTTGACATTACCAAATGTACCTTTCAATGGTATCCTTCTAGGTTATTAAGCAGGATTCAGCTCAAAGGAACCTTGAGGGTACATGTGTAGAATCCATTAGAAGAGCTCAGGAGCTGGGATATCCTAGGTAAAGCAGCACTCACACTCCCTAGGCAGAGTCTCTGATTAACCGCACTTGCTCAGTTTCAGAGACGACCAGGTGGAGTGAGGAAGCAGGAAGGGACCCCCCCACCCCGCGGCACCCCAGCCCACCAGATCAGCAAACACCAGCCATGTTACGAGACAGCCATCAGGACAGCCCAGTTACTTCAGGCCCCACTGTCCTAGGAAGCAACTCATCCCCTCTCTGCCACTTACCCTTCTCATTTGAAGTTCTGACAAAACACACATTTCTGCAAAATGCCATCAGTCTCTGAAAATTTTAGAACCAAAGAAAGCCCAGAAGAATACCTTGCCCTCTGTTTTAAAACGTGGCTAACATACTTTTATGTATAGTCTAATTTATTCATCCCAAAAACTTCAAGAAAAAAATTGCAGGAATAAGGGGTTTTTTTTCTCATTTTATAATGAGAAGGAAAAACCAACTAGGTGAAAGGGCAGTTTGGTGTTAGGAATAAATCAAAGCTGGAATTCTGAACAGGAGGTCATGGTCCACTAAGGCAGACCTGAGCTTCTCCTGGATGTCATACCAGCTCATTGACACCCCCAACCCCTACTTCTTGCTTTCACGTCCCCTATCGCAGTGTTAGCTGGATGCTATTTATGTAATTGTTTAAAGTCTCTCACCCTGAAATAAATGGATCCGGGCATTGAACCTATGCTTCTCGCACTGAATCCCAATGTCTACCTTGCGAACAGACAAAGTGGATGTGCCCTACTCTCTCCTGACCATCACAGCTCCTTGTGTTTGCTTGCAGGCCCTAGGCTACTGCTGCTGGAAATGGCCATCTCAGTGGACTCGTCTTGGCCGCGGTGGCAGTGGAGAGTGGATGACGGCTTCCCGCAGTCTCCATCAGAAACCACCCCACTGCTCTCTGCGGAGACGGGAAGGCAGCACTCCCGTGGGACACAGCAGCGGGTCGTGTTCCCCAACAACAGCACATTCCAGCAAGACTGGGAGAAGGTCTCCAGGAGATACTCCAGCAACAGAATCTGCACCACCAAATACACCCTCTTCACCTTCCTGCCCCAGAATCTCTTTGAGCAATTTCATAGGTATGTGTCCACTTGTCCAGACAACACACATCGAACCAAGTATTTGCCACTTAGATGCACACAGGGATACTGCCTTTGGGTCACCATTAATATCCAAGTACCTGTGCATGCCATTCAGTCATTCAATAAATATTTATAAAGTTCTACTGTGTCTCATGCCATGTCTTGGGTGCTAAAGCTACATGAGGAAAAATGAAAGACTATTCTCACTGAGAGTATTGTGCCATAAAAGAGAGCTTAACTTCTAAGTTGATATGATAATATAACTAGAAGATGCTTCTGAGGGCAGGTACCTGGTCCTATTAGAGTAAATAGTAGGGAAATCTGGCCTCATTAAGAAAGTCAGGCATGTTATTTCAATTGATGTGACAATTGAAGAATAACCAGAAAAAAGAGAAAGAATTAGCTGAGAAAAGGGGGCACAGAGAAGTATGAGAAGGGAGCCAAGAGAATGTTCCTGCATGTGCAAAGATACTGGGGTTCTGTGACAAGAGACAGCAAGATGAGCTTTTGAAGCTTTAAAATATAGGCCATTCTGATGCAATAACATGAGAAATCATTTTTAATTACAAACCAAAATATAAACTCAAATATTAGGCTAAACTTTAAATTTAACATGATTAACTACCATGTATTGAGCAACTGCTATGTTCCAGAACCCTCACCTGTACGTTAAACAAATATTTGATCATGTCATGTTTAGAAAAATCCTTTAACGTAGGCATTGCCATCCCTGTTCTACACAAGAGGAAGTAGACTCTGGGAGGAAACACAACTGGCAAACACAGCATTTGAGTTAACCCTGAAAGAGAATGTCATTTTAGTTGGGAAGGGCCAATTCTACACAATTTTTCACCCAAACTTTACTTGCCCTTTCCAGATGGGCCAACCTCTATTTCCTGTTCCTGGTGGTTCTGAACTGGATGCCCTCCATGGAGGTGTTCCACAAGGAAATCACCATGTTGCCGTTGGCCATAGTCCTGTCTGTAGTCATGGTCAAGGATGGCATAGAGGACTTCAGGAGACACCGCTTTGACAGAGCAATAAATACTTCCAGCATCCGAATATATGAAAGGTAGGGGAAATCTGCCTCTGTTTTCTCTCTTGTGAGTAGGTCATGCAAACTCCTTAGCATGTTTGAAGGATGTTTATCTGTTCATACATCATATTTTCTTAACTTTGCTTCATTCAGTGATTCTCAAAAAAGGGTAATTTTGAACCCTAGTGAGCATCTGGTAATATCTGGAGATAATTTTTGACAGTCACAGGAGGAGGGAGGGTACTACTGGCATCTAGTGGATAGAAGCCACAGTTGCTGCTAAATACGCTATGATGCACAGGACAATAGCCCACAATGGAGAGTTATTAGCCCATAAAAAGCATCAATAATGCTAAGGTTTAGAAACATTGGTTTACCTTGGGTAAACATTCATGTTACAAGGGTATATCAAGTCCCTGCCACCCTTGTGGGAGACCCGAATTAAGTTCCTGGCACCTGGCTTAGGCCTGGCCCAGCCCTGGCTATTGTAGTCATTGGGGAAGAGAACTTTGAGATGGATGAGGTCATGTGCTCACATGCTGTCTCTCTTTCTCTGTCTTTCAAATAAATAAATAAATTATTTTGAAGTACATCAGAAACTTTGTGGGAAAATGGAATTAAAAGATAAGTTCATTTTGGTACAAACATTTTTGAAATCCATGTGGCTTTTTCATAATATTCATTTTTCTTAAACCTTTTGAAGTAACTGATTTCAAAATATTTTTGCACAAAATGAACATATTTTAAGTCCTTTTCCATGAGAGCAGGCATTGTGGTACAATGGGTTAAGCTGCTACCTTAGATGCTCACATCCCATATCAAAGTACCATTTTCAGTCCTGGGTTCTGCACTTCTGATCCAGTTTCCTGCTAATGATCCTGGCAGGCATCAGCTGATAGCCTAAGTCCTTGGGCTCCTGTTGCCCACATAGGAGACAGGATTGAGTTCCAGGCCCCTAGTCCTGTTGGAGACATTTGAGGAGGAAGCCAGAAGATGGAAGATACCTCTCTCGCTCTCCCTCTCCATCTCCCTTCCTGTCTCTCTCCCTCCACCCCGCCGTCTTTCAAATGAATAAATCTTTTTCCTTTTCCGTGAACTTTTTCAAGTTCTTTTGTACTACGAACAGGACATTGTTGTTTTTTTTTTTTTTTAAGATTTATTTTATTTATTTGAAAGACAGAGTTAGAGGTAGAGACAGAGAGAAAGGTCTTCCATCCACTGGTTCACTCCCCAGGTGGCCGTTGCGGCCGGAGCTGTGCCGATCTGGAGCCAGGAGCTTCTTCCGGGTCTCCCATGTGAGTGCAGGGGCCCAAGGATGTGGGCCATCTTCTACTGCTTTCCCAGGCCATAGCAGAGCTGGACTGGAAGAGGAGCAGCCGGGACTAGAACCGGTGCCCATATGGGATGCCAATGCTTCAGGCCAGGGCTTTAACCCACTGCACCACAGCACCAGCCCCAGGACATTGTATTATCACAAGATGGTAAGAAGCTCAAAAAATAAACTCTAAGATGACTGAGTCATGTCAGGATACTAAATTTAGTAGGAATTTTTTGAATAGTATCAGGAAAATGAGAAAACTTAAGCTGTTTTTAAAGCCTCAGAGTTTCTTGGCTGAAAATCCATTCTTGAAGGGCTTGCTATTTGATTTAGCAACTAAGCACTGTTGAAGACAGCTGGGTCCCACAGAGGAGTACCTGCATTCCATATCTGGCTGCTCCTGATTCCAGCAGAGACACTAGGAGGCACTGGTGATAGCTCAAGTAATTGGATTCCTGCTATCCACCTGGGAGACCTGGGTTGAATTCCTGGCTCTGAACTTTAGCCCAAGATGGGGCTTTTGCAGACATTTGAGGAATAACCTCCACCCCCACCCCATGTGTCTGTCTTTCTCTCTCTCTCAAAAAAAAAAAAAAAAAAGTACATAAAATTAGAAGAAAGCTAACTTTCAGAACTTAACAAGGTAGGTTTTAGGACCCAGAGTTAGAACACATGTTCTTGGCTGCCTGGGATGGAAAAGGAAGATACCTGTGAGTGACGTCTGCATTCCAACAGGTGGAGTCTGAAACAAGTAGAAGGAAGTGACTTGGAGAATACACACCTGTTCTCTGCCTTATCATACCGCTCCCTTGGTGTTTGTAGACTGGATTTTTAGTCTTAGTTTTCCTTTGGAAAAAAAAGAGAAATTTTCAGCAGAGAAGACAGGTAAAAGATGAGAAATAAATTATGAGAATTGAAGAAACGGGAGTTTGCAGAGATGAGAAAAGAAGGTAGGAAAAGGCGGAAAAGGAAAGAAGACAAGAAGCGAGTGGTGGTCTCCAACCTGCCCTTTGAGGGGCGGGCCGACAAAGAGAACCCCAACAGGCATTACTGTGGGAATGAAATCAAGACCAGCAAGTACACTGTGCTGTCCTTCGTGCCCAAGAACATCTTTGAGCAGCTCCACCGCTTTGCCAATCTCTACTTTGTGGGCATTGCGATTCTGAATTTCATCCCTGTGGTCAATGCTTTCCAGCCTGAGGTGAGCGTGATCCCCATCTGTGTCATCCTGGCGGTCACTGCGGTCAAGGACGCCTGGGAAGACCTCCGGAGGTACAAATCCGATAAAGTCGTCAATAACCAAGAGAGTCTGATCTATAGCAGGTAAAGCAACTGCAGGGAAGTCTTGTGGACCCAGCTCTGCTGTTCCTGTGGCTGCTGCCACTGCAGCTGCTGCTGTTAGGAGGGAGGGAGCAGGGGGGTGGCATTATTTTTGGCTGAGTGAGGCTGTTTGGTTCTCTAGATTGGGAATTACAATCTAAAACTCAGAAAAAAAAAAAAAAGGAGTTGTTTGTCTTTCCAAACTAGGAAGTTTTTCTTATATAGCATTTTTCTTTACTTCTCCAAATACATCTAACCCTTAAGAATTCTAAGTGATTCTTAGTACAGTTTTGGCTGTGGGCGCATTTGAGCATGTTTGGGAATCCTGGAAGGGAAGAGATTACATTGTTTTTCAGAGGAGCTAAGGGTTAGAAGACACAAGACAGGAGACAGCTGCCTGCGTGGAACTCTGTCTGCAGTACTTAGCACCTGTGTGGTCTTAGGCAAGTGGCATAGCCTCTTTGAACCTTGCTTTATCGTTAGTAAGACTGGAACCACTCTTAGGATGGCTGTAGGAATTGTGTAAGATAATCCTTCGAAAATGCTAAGCCTCATGCCTGACACGGATTCACTGCTCAATAAATGCAAGTTATGGCTCTTTATTTTTAGAACATAACACTTGAACTAGCTCCATCAGTAAGACTATCCCAGAGCACCTCTCTGGTGTTGTCTCATCCACAGCCGGGACCACACACCACCTGTGTTGCCACATTGACTAATGTCATATCATGTATGCACTTATTTTACAAAGGTTCTCTTGAATCAGTGACCAAGCTGGGCTATTAGGGAAAGAGTGTGCTCTCACATTTAGGAAGAAGAGTTCAGGAGTGTCTCCGCTCTGTGACAGCCCCCAAAGAATCAAGGGAGCGGGCTCAGGCCTTATTGAGAGACTGCAGTGACCAAGTACGTTTTCTGAGCTAGCTGTTAGCAACAGGAGGTGGCTGAACCATGAGCTGGTGGGGGATTGACTTCTTGCTTAGTAAAGAGAGCATGCCTCTCTGTGAAGGCGCTCCGTAGGCCTGTCTTGTCTCCTCCGACTGCCAGCAGCCCTAGTGCAGCAGAAGTTCTGGGGTGGCCCTGGGAACGAGTGGAGCGCCGCCATTTAGGAACTGCTCACATTTAGCAAGGGCTCCTCTTCCCTGAGGAAAGGGTGTAGGAGCCAAACTCCACTTGGAAAGCTGTAGTTGGGAGAAGCCTCCGAGGAGACTATTTAAGACAGGGTTTGTCCCTCAAATCCCTAAACTCTTTCAAGCCTTGAGGAGCAAAGGAGCTTCTGGCCTCTGCTCATCTGGAAAAGTTCATTGGAAGGGTTTGTTTCTGCTTTTGTTTCAGCCAAATCCGATTGTCTTGAACGTTAGGAGCGCTGGACTCCAACAGCAGAGTGTTAGTTGTCCCTCATCTTTGAGTAAGGAAATTATAAATGCAGAAAGAACTGCCCGTGTGATGCCTTTCTTCGAAGACATGGTTTTTAAGAAAGCGCTGATTTTCTTCTAGCACCAATCCACCTGTACCTTTTTGCTTTCTACCTCTCCTTTGTTTTGTTTTTCATAGAAGATGCACACTGAGGCTAAGAATCCGGTTCCTTAGGGAGGAATGTGTGTGGGCTGCAATGAGCCTGGTCCTGTTCTCCCCACTCTGCCAGAACATTCCAGAACAATGGGCCCATTCTTGAGGATAATGTCAGGGTTGATCAGATCACAGATTCACCCCTGCTGGGAGTTGAGCTGACCTGGGCTAGGCTGTTGTTCTGTTTACAAAACAGCTTCCAAAGGACTTAAGAAAACTTAGATGATAACAATCTAGAAGAGAAAGACATAAGTCCACCGGTTCCCTGGCAGGCAAGGACATGAAGGGTTTTCATGGTAGTATTTCCCAAAGTGTGTTCAGTAAAACGACAAAGAAATGTTCCCTGAAAAGACAATCACAGCCAAAAAATACATTCTGGCTTGTTTGAACTGTGGCCCAGGAAGGACTAAGATACATAGTTTGGAAACCTGTTCCTCTTTGATTAACTTGGTGCTTCCTCTAAATTTACTGGGATTTAGAAATACTTCTTCATACCTAAGTTGGAGAAATTTCATATTTTCAAGGATAACAGAATCATTAGCTGCAGGGACTAGACAGGTAATTAAAATGGAGTAGATATAAAAAGAAAAGCGATATTACTCCATTAATGATAAATGGCAACTGACACTTAGTGATGGAGCAGAGAAGGAGGGGCCTGTGGACAGATGGGAAGGCTATGCATTCGTCCAGCTGGCAAGACTCACCACCAGCTCATGCTGTGCTCTTTTTTTTTTTTTAAGATTTATTTATTTGAAAGAGGGGTCCGGGGACTGACATGGAGGGGGGCGGGGGAGAGGGAGGAAGGGAGAGAGAGGGAGAGAGATTAATTCCG